CTTACATTCGATCCCAGTGAATTCAGGTAGCCGGGTCAAGGTTGACTCAGCCTTCCATCCTTATAAGATCTCGGGGTGGAGGTGGGGGCAATGCGTTCCCTGCATAATTAACTTTAAACTGCCCAGAGAGTGCTTTAAGCGCTATGGGGCAATATATAAGCAGCATGCTTTGCTTTGACATTCTTTGATTCTTAGGATAGCAGCTTGAACCACAATTTTTTGCTTTAATTGGAAGAGTTGCTTTCCCCCACCTCCACCCCTATGCACATCCTCTTCTGGGAGAGTTTGTCCTGATCTGACTCGCAAAGGTAGATCACTGAAGCTATGAATGGCTACATTTGGGTAACCGTGATGTACTGCTTTTAATTATCTCATTATCGCTATGCTTGCTTTTAGCACACCTGTCAGAGGTAGGAACTATGTCCCCTGCTATTCAGAGTGCAGATATGCAAAGAGTTACTTCCACTGCACTGTTTTGATGTTACCTAATAAGCACTGATTAAACAATAAATAATTAAACAATTAAACAATAAATAATTAAAGAGCCTCTTAATGAGGGTGAAAGAGGAGAGTGCAAAAATGGTCTGAAGCTTAAACCATCAAAAAAACTAAGATCATGGCCACTGGTTCCATCAACTCCTGGCAAATAGAAGGGGAAGATATGGAGGCAGGGAGGGATTTTACTTTCTTGGGCTCCATGATCACAGCAGATGGGGATAGCAGCCACGAAATTAAAAGACGTCTGCTTCTTGGGAGGAAAGCGATGACAAATCTAGACAACAACTTAAAAAGCAGAGACATCACCTTGCCGACAAAGGTCCGCATAGTCAAAGCTATGGTTTTTCTAGTAGCGATGTATGGAAGTGAGAGCTGGACCATAAAGAAGCCTTACCATCAAAGAATGGATGCTTTTGAATTGTGGCGCTGGAGGAGACTCTTGAGTGCTGGTCTTTGACCGTAATCAGTTGAATGCAGTTCAGTTCAGACTGAAACCCAGAATGAACTCACAGTCCCTCCAAACCTGGAGTCAAGTCACCAGCATTCCTGGTTCTCTCTCTCTCTTCCTCCCCTCCTGCCTCATACACACTTACACTACAGTCCTCCTAGCTGGTGATGTTTAAAAGCCAATAACCTGTGTGATGCTTCTTGTCTCTGAATTTCCTTTACCAAATGTATCTTACCATCTCCAGATTGCATATTCCCCAAGTAGGTAGGTAGGTAGGTAGGTAGGTAGGTAGGTAGGTAGGTAGGTAGGTAGGTAGGTAGGTAGGTAGGTAGGTAGGTAGGTAGGTAGGTAGGTAGGTAGGTAGGTAGGTAGGTAG